GTGTCTCTGCAGATTCCAGAACAGCCCTTCTGCACCGTGAGCCCCCACGCGGGTTTGTCGTCCTCAGACCAGGTTCTGTGTTTGGGGGCTGCCCTGTGACAGGAGTGGCGTGGTGGCTTCTTGCTTCTGACTGCCCGAGATGCGCGAGGCGGTCTGCTCTGTGGGGCGGCGAGAACGTGGCTCAGCCAGGTCCACGGCACCTGCTAGGCGTTTCCACTGTGCAGCTAATTTTCCTTTGCTCTTCATTTCTCATTGTTCCTTGAGGACGCGCCTTGAGACTCATTCAGTTCCCATTCCTCATGGTGCTGGTTCGGGTCCCCTGCCCTGTCCCCGGCCCGAGTGCATTAGGACCCTGACATCTGCCAGCTGGTGGGTCCTCTCATTCTGTGACATCTGCATTTCCTGGTCGGCATCACACAGAAACGGAGCACGTTCTCTTCACCCCATTTACTTGTCTGTATCCGTAAGGAGTCGTGGTTTCTTACACTATGCACCGCCACGGTCTGCCGCAATCCTGTTCACTTGATGCTGGAATCCTGCTGCATGTAGCCAAGCTGGTTTTGCATCTTTAATGTGTCCCCATTACATCTGCATGTCTTCTTGCTCTCTGACATAAGGGGGTGCTCCAGGCACATGGGGTGCATTCCCGCACCTGTGAGGGGGCCTGGCTGTCAGGTGCAGGCCTGATCGTGGGGCGCTACTGCTCCCTGCTCCCATCCTGGCTGTGGCTGGGGAGTCCCTGTTGCCCGGCTCTTTTGTCTCCACACATTGAAAACCAGGAGCTCACCTCCACGTGGCCCCTCCAAGGCCCAGCCAGTCACACTGGGTTTATCCAGTGTCCCCTCTTCGTATGAGTTCCTCGCGCTCTGACTGGGCCACACACGCCTTCCATTTCTCAGGGTCTTCCCTTGTCTGCTCCATCCACCTGCACATGGTAGCTCTCCAGAAGCTCCTCGAGCACCAGCGCTCAAAGACCCGCCTTCGGAACCTGGTCCCTCCCCTCCAGGGGCCATGGGTCCCTGTTTCAGAGTTGCCCTGGAGGCGTGGGGTCTGGTGCGGGGACGGATGATGGCCCCGAGAGTGTCTGTGTCCTTAATCCCCAGACCAGAGCTCATCAGCCGCACAGATCTCGGGCCAGGAAGGCAAAGGTCATCCTGGGTGGGGTGGTGTCATCAGAAGTGTGCCTGTCAGAAGGACATAGGAAGGTGTTGGGTGGGAGGTGATGATTTCGCGGAGGCCAGGATTGGGGTGATTAGCTTTGAGCGTGGAGTGCAGGGCCCAGAGCATGGGCACGAGAGCCTGTAGGCGCCACCAGGACCTGTGAAAGGCAAGAGGGGCATTCCCTCTCGGGGTGCACAGAAGGAACCAGCCCAGGACGTCCACGGTAGACTTTCGACTTCCAGAGCCATCTGAGGATAAATTGGCACTGCTTGAAGACCCCATATTTGCAGTCATTTGTTACAACAGCCATCGCGAACAGATACGAGATCCTCCAAATTGACAAAATCCCACTGTGTGCTCCATGAGCCACGTCAGGGGACAGATCTGCCTGGACTGGCCAGTGACCCTCACGGTCCTTAGCACCAGAGCTCTCTCCACGGGTTTTACCATCTTAAAAGACTTTCTTCTGGGGAACTGATAAAACACACAGCTGTGTTCAGGCTGTGGCTGAAGTTTGGGAATTCTTCCCGTGCCTGCATGGGTGGGACAATGCCGTCCCTGTCCCGCAGAGTCGGCTAGCCTCACGGATGCCGCCAGCGCTGCGCATCTCCGGGAAGAAGTCCATCAAACTGACACTTTAAGTGCAGTTCGAGTCCGGGGGCTGAGACGATGTGACGAGGGGGTGGCCTCACCCCGCGGCCTGAGGGATTGACGGCATACTCCGTGTGGAGCTGACCTCGGGCTGCCGTCAGGGCTCACACCCCACAGTGCTCCTCGACTGGGAAAGCATCAGCCCCCAGACGAAGATTCTGGAACCTTTGCACGTGCCGCTCCTTGAGAACAAAGAGCGGAAATGCCACAGGCTGGGCCCTTCATTGTGCTCCTGCTGCATTATAAGTCACTTCCACACCGGCCAGTGCCCTTGAGATTTCATTTCTTCCCCCCGTTTTATTGACATGCACTGTGGTATGCGGTTAGGGCGAGCGACGTAGTGACTTGGTTTGTGTCTGTGTTGTCCGGATGGCTGTCGGCAGCCCCGCCCACGTCCTCCCCTCCCACGGCCCCGCCCACGTCCTCCCCTCCCACGGCCCCGCCCACGTCCTCCCCTCGCACGGCCCCGCCCACGTCCTCCCCTCGCATGGTGGTTCTCTTCCCGAAAGAGCTTCCCTAACCTACTCTCTCGGCAGCGTTCAGCTGCACAGCCTGGTGCTGCCAACCAGAGTCTCCACACCGTGCACCAGCTCCCCGGGACTGACTCATAACCGCGCGTTTGTATCTTTTGACCCCCTGGACCCACGTGACTCCTGCGCTCCCCCAGCAACCAACGGGTCTGTTCTCTGTTTCTTTCTTTCTTTTCTTCTTTTTACTATTCCACCTATAGGTGAGATCATCGGGTATTTTTCTTTCTCTGACTTACCTCACTTAGCCCAACGCTCCACACAGTTTATCCACGTTGTTGCAAATGACAGAAGTCCCTTCCTGTTTATGGTTGCATAATATCCCATTGCACGCACGTGTGTGTGCATGTATGTGCACGCGTGTGTGCACGTGTGTGTGCGTACACACGCATATACCACCTCTTCTGTATCCGCTCATCCATGGATGGACCCTCAGCCCTCAGGCTCATTCCGCGTCTTGGCTGCTGAAACACGGGGAGCGGCTGTCCCTTCAATGCGGGGTTTTTCACTTCTGTTGGAAGAATTCAACAGAGTGGAATTGCTGGGTCACAGGGTAATTCTGTTTTTCACTGTTTGAGGCCCCTCCATACTGTTTTCCCGAGTGTCTGCACTGGTCCGCGTTCGCCCACAGCGCACGTAGGGCTCCCTCTTCCCCACATCCTCACCGACAGCTGTGATTTCTTGTCATTTGGATGATAGCCATCCTGACGGGTCAGCTGGTTTACCGTCGTGGGTTAGGTTTTCATTTTCCTGATGCTGAGAGACAGTGAGCGTGTTTTCATGTGTCTGTTGGCCGTCTGCGTGTCTATTTGGGTCGGCTGCCCATATTTTAAAAGATTTTTTTATTTGTTGGGAGAGAGAGCAAGGGTGAGCAGGGGGACGGGCAGACAGAGAGGGAGAGACTCAAGAAGACTCAACGCTCAGCACTAAGGCCGACACAGGGCTCGATCCCACGACCTTGACATGGTGACCCGAGCCGAAATCAAGTCAGATGCTCCACCCAACTGAGCCATGCCATCACCCTGAAATAAAAATCTTTATAAATGCCCTGGCTGAGGGCTTCTCACTTGAGGCCTCAGGGCCCTCCTCGCAAATGGGGGTAACAGTCCTGGTGTCACTGGTTGGGCTGCGAATTAATTGGGGTAACACATCATGGGCTTGCCCCTTCGTACTTCCTCCTCCTCCTTCCACTTGGCTCCTCCCAGGACCAGGCTTTGGGAGCTTCCCTTGGGCGAGCATGTTCTTTCCACTCTGTCTAAAACGCACTCCCTGCTTGCCACAGTTCTGTCCTGTGTCTTATTATTAGTATTTATCCTAAGGGGAAACTAAGTCAGAGAGGCAGAATCGCTTTCCCCAGGGGACACCCTGGCACCATGCTGCAATTAATTATTAATCAGTATTATTATTATTGCTGGTGGTGGTTCCCGTCATGGCCTTGAGGCTTGCCTCTTTTTCTTGGAGCCTTACTGGGAATCCGAGGGGTTATCTTACGAATACAAGTGAGCACACCAGCTCTCATGAAACCTGCTGGCCTTTGACTGGGGCAGGACTCGGGATCTCTGTCAGCAGGATTCTGTCCTCGAACGGAGTATGCGTCTCTCCCTGTAGCCCTACTCGCTTGCTTCTCCTCTCCGCTGCCGTTTCCCCGTCTTCCCTGCGGGCTGGAGGCTCCTCCGGGCACCCAGGGATAGTCAGTGCCTTGTACTTACTTCCTCAAATAAGCAATTGACGCAGTCAGACAGGGTGCTGTTTACAGACACCACAGTGCAGGCTGGGTGCCGGCCGTCATCCGCTGAACCTCAGCCGCTGGTCGTCGCCACCCCTGCTCCGGAGGCCATGCAGGTGATGCTCTGGGCACTGGGTCCCCAGCCTGCAGGTGCGGAGCTGGTCGCACCTGCCACGAGGAGCCTCGAGCTCAAGCCCGCGCCCCAGCCTTGCCCACGGCAGTGGTCACTGCCCGGTTTTCATGCAGGAAATGCCTGCCTCTCGCTAGCACCTGTCGAGGTCATGTTAGGGATGCCCTCTCATGCCTCCAAGGACCCTGTCGAACCTCCAGGTGTGGCTCTGGGGCTTGGATAGTTGTTCTGGCTCAGATGGCACCTCGCTGCTCTCTCTGATGTGGGCCCAGTCCTCGGATCTGAACACACTGAAGCTGGGCTTGGGTTTCCAGCACCAGCTGAATAGGGACCTCGAGCCGTTACTTAAACAGACTACTCTGGGCGTCATGGCACACCATGGAAAAAACACGTCCGGTGGGGGTTCTCACGCATGGCATCCCACATGCTGAATAAGCTGGGTCACCCAGTGTCTAGGATGCTGGTGCAGCCGGCCCTAAACTCACATTGTGCTGGGCACACCTTCTTGGAACCTGCTGTGCTCTGCCTTCTCCTGCCTTTGGGTTGGACCGGCCTCTGCCTGTAAGTGCCCTGAGGTCCACGGTCAGCTTTCCTTCCTCTGTGCCCTGTGAGCAGCCTTACAAACAGTTTGCCACAACCTGGGTGGCCTTGGCTCCAGGCCAGCACAATGAAAAGCAAACAATGTGTGTATGAGTGTGGGGTATATTGTCATCACGACCTTGTTGGGTGACTGAAGCCAGGAAAAGCAATGTGTTGTGGAAATGAGTATGAATAATAGGAAGCTCTCTTTTTAATGCTCCAAAAGGTGTTCCTGATGCTTTTGCAAGGTTCCAAGAAGCAGCCAGGGGCCGAGTTGGAGCCACAGGACCAGAAGCCTCCAGAGCCTGCTCCTGGCTACTGTAAGTACGCGGAATTGTTTGCATTTCTGCTGTGGGGAGAATGTCAGCATCCTTCTCTCGAAAGCCCTTGTGTGAGGGTCTGATAGAAAGGCCTGGAGAAGGTGACTGGAGAGACAGGGTACCGTTCAGGGGCAGAAAGCTGAGGGTTTCGTCTTACCTTGTGTAAAACAATGGTGGGTTTAGCGTGCGGCTTTCTCTCTTCTTTAGAACCCAATGTGTTACATTAGCAATTTCTTAGCATGCAAAATCAGTCTTGAAAAGCATGCGTCTTTCTTCCCTTTGTCTCCCGAATCCAACCAATCCAGCCTGCATTCTCGGGGTGCCTAGGATGTGCAGGCACGTTGCCAGGAGTGGGTTTACATAGAGAAAACTCCCGGTGTGAGCCTCGCCTTCCTGGAGCTTCTGTCCATGCTGGAGCTCCATGCGGACCGAGGTGCTGAGGGCCAGGTCTCCTGGCAAGCGCGTTCATGGACACCACAGACTGGACTGACTCTGGGTTTGGTTTCTGGGTGTGTGGCTGCAGTTCCAACGAATCCAGGGCTGCTTGTGAGCAGTAACGCGCCCCGGAACGCTGAGCTGGGCTCTGGAGGCAGGCGGGCAGCAGGACACATGTCCTCCTTGGGGGACTCCAGTCCACCAGCCATCCAGGGCCAGGGAGAGGCAACAAAAATTACATACATTAGGGGTGTTGTGTCTGGGGTGTGCCGTGTCACACGCTCCCCAGCAGCATGGGACAGGTCCGTTTGCCCCGTGTCCCCTAGAGCTTGGTATTCCCGGGTTCAAAAAACAAAACAATGCTATTTTAAGCATTATAACTGGTTTGCAGGTTTCTCATTGTGTTTTTAAATTTTTTAAAAAAGTTATTTATCTGTTTATTTGACACAGAGAGAGAAAGAGTGAGAGCATGCATGCACACAAGCGGAGGGGTAGAGGGTTAGAGGGGCAGAGGGAGAGGAAGAAGCAGGCTCCCCGCTAAGCAGGGAGCCTGATGCGGGACTCAATCCCAAGACTGAGATCATGACCTGAGCCAAAATCAAGAGATGGCCACTTAACCGACTGAGCCACCCAGACACCCCTGTGTGCAAGCCTTTTGTGGGCATATATTTTTGGGGTGTAGTTGCCAAGGAGCGTTATTGCTGGATCGTATGTTTACCATGTGATGGATGGGGCTGCTGCACTGTTCTTTCCAGGGGCCGCACACTTGACATGCCCCTAGCACGACGCGCCTCCTGTGTCCGTCCTCGCACACCAGCTCTTGTGATCACCTGTGCTCTGGACTGCAGACAGCTCTGTGGGGTGGGGTGCGGGCTCGCTGTGGTTGGACTTGCACTCTCCTCATGGCTAAGGATGTCGACTCTCCTTTCGTGAGCTGGTGTTTGCACATCTTCGTGGGAGAAATGTCTCTTTGTATCTTTTATCCATTTTTAAGATTGGGCTAATTTGATTTCTGGAGTTGCAAGAGTCTTTTATGATGAAATTGTAATAAGTGTGATGTGAACTGTGGGTTTTTCATAGACGCCTTTTATGAAGTTGTGGATGTTCCTATTTATTTCGGTTTGATGAGAGGTTTTATCATGCGAGGGTGGTGAGAATTGCCAAATGCCTTTTCTGCATCTGTTGAGATGATTGTGGGTTTTTCGGCCTTCTTTATTGACGTGATGTATTAGAATTGATTTTTAGATGTTAAAGCAGCATTCCATTCACCAATTCAGACCAGTTCCACTTGGTTTCGTAGTACATAATTCTTTTAATAGACTGATGGATTTGATTTGTTAGTATTTTGTTGAGGTTTTTGAGTCTGTATTTGTAAGAAGTATTGGTCTATAATTCTGTTGGTTTTGTTTTTCTGTTGATGTCTTTGCCTGGCATTGCTATTATGGTATAACTCACCCCAAAAATGAACTGAGAAGTCTTTCCTTCTCTTATATTTTTTGCAAGTGTTTGTGAAGAATTCATTCTTTAAATGTTTGGTAGAATTCACCAGTGAAGACATCTGGGCCTGAATTTTCCTTGTGGGTAGTTTATTTAAAAGTTAATGTTTTGGGGTACCTGGGTGGCAGAGTTGGTTAAGTGGCTGGCTCTTGGTTTGGGCTCAGGTCATGATCTCAGGGTTGTGAAATCAAGCCCCCCGATGGGTTCTGTGCTCAGCAAGGAGTCTGCTTGAGATTCTCTCCACCCCTCTCCCTCTGGTCCTCCCCAACCCCTACGCTTTTTCTCTTTCTCTCTCATGGATAAATAAATCCTTAAAATTTAATATTTTAAATTTTAAAATATATTTTATATATATAAATATTTAAAATATTAAAATTTAATCTTTTAAATTTAATATTTTAGTTTCTTTACTTGTTATACATCTATTAGGTTATGTATTTGTTCCTGAATCGGTTTCTATGTTTTGCGTCTTTCTAGAAAAGCACACCACATCATGTGAGGTGCCTGATTTATTGGCCTACACCTGTCTATAACATTATTGCTAGTATTGAAAATTATTAATAATATATATCGTGTTATAGTAAATATTATTAACATAATCTTATTATTATTAATAGCATTATTGCTATCATTGATGATCCTTTTTATTTAGCTGGGGTCAGTAGGAACAATCCTCTTTCATTTCTGAGTGTAAAAATGTACACTTTCTCTCTTTTTCTTGGTTCATCTAGCTAACCTGTGGTCAGTGTTGTTAATCTTCTCAGGCAATCAGCTTCTATTTTCAGTGATACTCTATTGGTTTTCTAGTTTCTAGGTCCCTAATTTCAGCCGTGATTTTCATTATTTCATTCCTTTGGCTCCCTTTAGATTTGGTTTACTCTTTTTCTCCTGATTGGAGATCTTTCTTCTTTTATATCAGTATTTACATCTATAAGTTCCCTTCTGCACACCACTTCCATGGATCCCATAGTTTTGGGATTTCATATCTTCACTTTCATTTATCTACAAGTATTTACAAACTTTCCCTTTGGTTTCTTTCTTGGTTCATTGGCTTTTTTAAGATTATGTTTTTATTTTTTAACATTTTAAAAAATAGTTATCTGTTTAAGTCATGTCCACACCCAACGTGGGGCTCAAACTCATGACCCTGAGATCAAGAGTCTCCAGCTCTTCCAACTGAGCCAGTCAAGCACCCCCGGGATTATGTTTTTAAATTTCCACATATTTGTGAGTTTCCCAAATTACTTTTTGTCATTAAAGTCTAATATCACTCTACTGGACCAGTGGAAAAAATGTCATATGATTTTGAACCTTTCTTTAATTTATTAAGGCTTGCGTTATGGGCTAGAATAATGGTCCATCTAGAGAGAGCTCCTTGTACTCTTGAGAGGAACGTGTGTCTGTTGTGATGGGTGGAGTGATCTATTGATGACCCTTGTGTCCACCTTGTCTACACAGCTATTCAAGTAGAAGAGCTCTGTCCTTGTTGATATTCTGGTTGCTTATCTTATCCATTAATGAAAGTTGCGTGATGTTGTTTCTGACTCATTGCTGGATTGCTTGTTCTGCCCATTACTTCTGTCAGATTTTGTCTCATGTGTTTTTGGGTTCCTCAGTGGCACAAATATTACTTTTAATCTCTTCCTGATGGAAAGCTTGTTTCATCTTTTGTAGTCATTTTCCTTGTTGTATTCTTCCTGACCCTTTTAGTCCATGCTCACACTGTATCTGACAAACCAGTTTCTCAAGAACTTCATGGAACTTCCTTGGATTCTGATAGTATTCCTCCATTAGCTCAAATCCAGACCGTTTTTAGATCATTTCTTCTCTGTTTGTGGTTCTGCAGAGATGGTGGGGGGCAGAGGTGACCACACCATGAAGCTTTCTAGAAGCCTTCTGCTTTGGTTGAATAGGTCTCTGAGACACAGTCATAATTTTTATTCTATTTCTTACGTAGAGAGTTTATTAGCAGAGGAGAATGCCAAATGATGGGTAAATAAATTAGTGAATTGTTCATATTGTGATTGTTCATATTGTTCATATTTATTTATTGATTTACTCTTGTATTTACGATATACCTAATATGGATTTCAGCATGTTCAGGTGTACGGTTCTGTGGCATCGGGTACGTTCACACTATTTTGCACCCATGACCACTATCTATCTCCAGAGCTCTTTCCCCTCCTCCAACTGAAACTGTACACAGTAATGACTAGCTCTCCCTCCCCCTCCTAACTGCGGGCAGCCACAATTCTACTTCTGGTCTGTATGAATTCCACTGTTCTAGATACCTCATACTAGAGGAGCTGGGCAATACTTTCTCTCTTGTGGTCGGCTTATTTCAACCAACATAATGGCTTTAAGGTTCATCCACAGTATAGCTCATGTCAGAATTTATCAGACGGAGAAGATAGTATATGTGGGAAGGGTCCCAGAGTTTCCAGGCGTCTCTGGGAGCCATTCTCCCTGAATTGCCAAGTGTTCACCAACCTGGAAGCTCTCTGAACACCATCCTTTGGGGGTTTTATGGAAGCTTCATTACACAGGCATGACTGATGAAATCATGGGCCATTGGTGATTGATCCAGCCCCTCTCCAGTCCCTGGAGGTCAAGAGAAAGGGAATGAAAGTTCCAACCCTGTAATTAGGTTGTGGTTCCCTGGTCCTTAGTTTGATGAATTCCAGAAGTCACCTCATAAAGCTCATTAATATAACAACAGACACCCTGTTCCTTTAATCTCTTAGGAAAATCCAAAGGTCCTAGGAGTTCTGCAAGAAACAAGATGGACGAAGACCAAATACACACTTCATATTATAAATCACAGCATCACAATACCACCAACCCTTATCAGGGCTCTCTCTGGGCTCATTCATCTCTGGCAGAATTTAGTTCCTGGTGGCTTTAGGACTGAGGTCTGCACGTGTTCGCTGGGGGCAGGTGGATTTGCTCTCAAGTTCGTAAAAGTCATCCTGGAATCTTAGCCACCCGGTCCCCTCAGAACAGAACATGCCTCTTCTTAAGGTCAGAGGGGGAATCTCTGTTTCGGTTAACCTAAAGTCAAAAGATTA